TGATAGGCAATGAATGAATTAGGAAGATTCTTTTCACTTCTACTATTTTAAATATGTGTTTAATGAAATATACTGTAAAATATCCAGTTTTGTATATTATATGTACATTTGATTTTTAAATAGCCTTTCCAAAGAAATGAGGGCATGATTATTGTACAGTACTGTGACTGATTTCATTTGATGTATAGAGCAGAGTATGTTCTTCAGGATAAAAATATTTGATGGCACTCATTCTTGTGCTTTGAAGCTTTTATTTCTGAAACACTCAAATACCTTACTGAGTAGGTAATAGTGATCCACCCTGTTTGCTAAATGACTATTTGTTTAAATCTGTACAGTTTAAAGTGTTCACTTATACAAAGAGTGTACATACTTTCAAATAATTTAAAATGCTTTATATTATTTGGCTAGAAATTGCTGTTTTTAATAAATGTGAATTTTTTCAGAAATAAAGATTTTTGCTTCCTACTTTGTCCTCATGAGTCTGTGTGTGGAACCTTTTAAAAGACTTTTTTTAACGAAGATTTTTCCTGTTGATTCACATGCGGTTGTGAGAAGTCATACAGACCGAGCCTGTGTACCTGGACCAGATCCTCCACCAGCTTGTCTGTCTGCTCCTCCTCAGCCCCTGGGGAAGGAGGCAGCTGCCGGGAACTTGGTAGAGGGTCATCTGTTACATAGTCATCCAGTAAATACACATTTGGGATTTTAAAAAACCTTTTTCCCAGTTATCAAAATATGTTCACTATCAGACGTTTCTACAGTGTTTGAATTTTAACATAAAATGTGAAAGTTGTAAATGAAACTTGAAAGGTAAACTGCTGTTAAATGTTTGCATATTGCTTCCAGATTTTTTCTATGTATATTCTAAATAATTTTTCATATCATATTGGGCTCTTTTACACTTTTTTAATCAGGTGAGTTTTACTTTTTTATTTTGGTTGTGCTGTGTGGCTTGTAGAATCTTAGTTCCCTGAATAAGGATTGCACCTGGGCCCTGGCAGTGAAAGTGCCTAACAGCTGAACCACCAGGGACTTCCAGTCAGGTAAGTTTTAATTATCAGTTATCAGTGGTGTTTGTTATTGTTCATTCACCAAGTCATGTCCAACTCTTTGCAACCCCAGGAACTGCAGCACACCAGGCTTCTCTGTCCACCATCTCCCGGAGCTTGCTCAAGCTCACGTCCATTGAGTTGGTGATGCCATCCAACCATCTCATCCTCTGTCGTCTTTCTCCTCCTGCCCTCAGTGTTTACAGGTAGGCATGGTTTCATCTCAGTGTTTACAGATAAGATCCCTGGGTTGGGAAGATCCCCTGGAGAAGGGAAAGGCTACCCACTCCAGTATTCTGGCCTGGAGAATCCCATGGACTGTATAGTCCGTGAGATTCAGGTCGCAAAGAATCAGACGTGACTGGCCGACTTTCACATTCATTTGCTGAACTACTTGAAAGTAAGTTGCAGGTATCATGACATTTTACTGCTAAATAGTTAAGTATCCATCTCCACAAACAGTAGGCACATTCTCCTACATAACTCTAATACCATTATCACACTTTAAAAAATCAGTAGTATCTACTATATAGTCCATATTTCACTTTCCTCAATTGTTACCCAAAATGTTTCATAGCTTTTTCTTACCCAAATGCTTACATGTTACTTGGTTGTTACGTCTCTTTAGTCTCTTTTAATGTAGAAATTCTTAAGGTTTCTGTTTGTTTTCATGGCACTGGCATTGACTTTTTTAAAAAAATAAATATATCACAAGAGTTGGGACAGGACTTAGTGACTAAACCACCACCAGGTTAGTTATAGAATGGACCAGAGTCCAGATGTCCCTGCGAAATTTCCTCATTGCTTAATTCAGAATACCCAACCATTGCAGAATACATTCTTCTCAAGTACGTGGGACATTTGCCAAGACAGACACGTGCTGGGGCATAAAACAACAAAACAGAAAACCCAAACACGATCTATAACAGTAGTTCTCAATCAGATGACCCCTGCCCCTGCCACCAGGAACACATTAGGCAACATCTAAAGACATTTTTGGTTGTCATGACTGGTGTGTATGTGTGCATAGGGGTAGAGGTTTTACTGGTTTCTATTAATAGCTGGAGAAGCAACTAGTACGGCCAAATATTTTATAATGCATAGGCCAGCCTCTTGCAACACATAGTTATCCAGTTCAAAATGTGGAGAGCGGTGGGGTTGCAGAACCTGTGATGTACACAGCAACCCCCAATCTCCAGCACTGGCTGTTCCCTCACCTGTTTTCATCCCAGCAAATGGTGTCTTTTGCTAGTTTGGCTATTGTGTCTTCCGCACTGCAGGTTGTAAGCTGCTCTGTCGTGTTGACAGCTGTGTATCTTGCGCCTGGAACAGAACCTATAGTAGGTGCACAGTAAGTACCAGTTGAAAGAATCCCCGTGGACCCAAGTCACACAGCCTTCCCTTCCCCGTCCCATTCCTACCAAGTCCTGCCTGTCCTCTACCCCTCCTTCCCCCCTCCTCTATTTCCTCCTGTCCTCTATTTACAATGCCATTGCCCTGAGTCAAGACCCTCATTTTCAATATTCCTTGCTGTGAATATTGTATTTTTACTCCAAGAACCTAGGCTTACTAATGCTCTCCTTCCCCTTTGCGTACAACTCCTGACGGCACGCAGGCTGTTCAGACCCCTGCGCATCTATGTGTCACAGCCCCATCTCCTTACTGCTCATCCTCTGTATTCATCAGGGTCCTGGAGAAGGCATCATGTCTAACTGGAGCAGGAAAGGGCTCTACTGGAAGGAAATAGGGGAGTGGGGGACAGACCAGAAGCGGGAGGCCCAGAGGAATGAGAAGAGGAAGCTTTACAGATGCAGAGGTTTTGTCTTCATTTCCAAAGCAGGAAGTGTTGGTCCACTGCCTTGGCAGTGTCCTGGCCTTGGCGTGACTGCAGCTGCTTCCATCTCGGCCAAGCTGACTGTGTGTGTGTGTGTGTCTGTGTGTGATTCTCCGTGCTTCATTAATGCTGGAGCAGGGAGAAGGAAGATCCTCTGTGTCAGTATCCATGGAGTGCCTCTCACCTCCAAATCCACCCACGTTGGGCCCTGCTTTGAGATTCTGGAGCTGGGCCCTGAGAACACTTGTCCACCGCCAGCAGGTGCAGAGGGAGGCTCTGTAGTGTGCTGATGCTGTCCCGCAAGGCGCAGGGGAAGAGGCTCTCTGTTTCTGGCATCGGTCTTTCCTCCTACACCGCCCTGGCAATGGTGTGGGGCAGGGGTGGGGGGTCAGTGGCACTTGCTGTCTGGTGAGTTTTCCTGCTATCCAAGCAGCAAGTGTCTGTGAACCAGTTTGTTCTTGCAGATGTAGTTGGCTAAGATACTGTAAAGAGGCGGGTCCCTCATCCAGTATGACTGGGGTCCTTATAAAAAGGGGAAATTAAGCAAACATTTACTTGGCCACGCTGGCTCTTTGTTGCAGCACTCGGGCCTTCTAGTTGTGGCTAGCAGGCTTATTAGTTGCTCCTTGGCATGTGGGATCTTAGTTCCCAGACCAGGGGTCGAATCCACATCCTGTGCATTGCAAGGCCGATTCTTAACTAGAGCACCACCAGGGAAGTCCCTGGAAGGGGGAAATTTGATCCAGAGGCACCCACACAGGGAGAATGCGGTATGAAGACTGCCAGAGACAAAGGAACTCCTAGAAGCTGGGAGCTGGGCCTGGGCCACATTCTTTCCACACCCTTGATCTTGGACTTCCGACTTCCAGAACTGTTGTCTAAGCCACCCAGCGTGTGGTCCTTTGTTACAGCAGCTCTAGCAGGCTAACACAGAGGGTGGGGGCTGGGTTTTTTTAGTTCCCGGTCACCTGGCTGCTTTCACTACATCCTTCATCTGTGAGGGGACTCACTTTTCTTTATGAAGTAGTTCCTGGCTGCTGGGTTATTCTGTCTGGTCCATGATAACACACACAGACCAATAGCCGCAAGAGAAGTTGGAACTGCAAAAAATCTCTGTGAAATATTGCATCTATGTAAGTGCTGGCAACAAGATATTTTAATGGCTAAAGATTTTTTTAATATTTATTCATTTATTTGGCTGTTCTGGGTCTTAGTTGCAGCATGTGGGACCCAGTTTCCAGACCAGGGACTGAACCCAGGAACCCCAGCGTTGGGAGCTCGGAGTTCTAGCCGCTGGACCACCGAGGAAGTCCCTGAAGATTTTGAAGAAATATTTCTTTATCCGTTTGGCTCTGCTGGGTCTTAGTTGTGGCCCACGGGATCTTTAGTAGTAGCATGTGGGATCTTGTTCTCTGACCAGAGATAGAACCTGGGCGCCATGCATCGGGAATGCAGTCTCAGCCACTGGACCACTAGGGAAGTCAGAACATTTTAAAACAGGGAGCTGACCAAACCCAATGCCTCTTCGAGGCCACCTGTTGACAATCTCTGCATTAATGGGGTGGGTCACGCTTTTAGGCTTCTTGGAAGGAGCAGGACCAGGAGGAGGCACTGGCTGATGATCCTAAGCGCTCACAGCTGGGAAGCCCCACGCTGAGCACTTCCCCAGCGCCATCTGTTCTCATCCTCTAGCTGCGAGCTGTGTTCTGTGGTTGCCCTCCTGTTACAGAGGAGGGAATGGAGTCCCGGGAGGCTCCCTGCCTCAGCCGAGGTCTCACAGCTGGCATGTGGCGGTGCCAAGACCCCCACCAGGGCCGTCGGCTTCCAGGGCACACGTGGGAGAAACGTCGGGGCTCTGAGATGTGGGCAGGCTTGGAGGATTTATTTGCTGCAGAGACTCGACCCCGGAACTCTGTCTCCAGCACCTGGTAAGAGAAGGGGCCCCTGCCCACACCCAGCAAAGGTGTAAACCAACAAGCTCCCTAAATGTGGAGGTGGGCCCGTGACGCTTCGCTCCCCACAGTGGTCACTGGCAGCACTCGTGGCTCACCACCTGGTAACTGTAGTTCTAGCTGATGATGCTACGTGCCAGTAAGATGTGTGTCAGAGGGGAAGTGACCCATAGGGCCCGCTGCTACCAGCCGACCACCCTGGACCCATCCCAGGTGCACGGTTGTCGGGGTTTGGAGTGAGGATGGGACTTTGGTGAGGATTTGGCAGCAGGAGAGCCCAGCTGCGAAAGTAGGGTTTGCGTGTCTGTTCACAGCAGGGATTGGCTAGTTGCTAGGCTGAGCCAGGAAGAAGGGGTTTCCCACACTCTTGTGGTTCAGGCTGCAGTTGGGGTCATTCTGGAAAGTCTGCACTGTCTCAGGGACATAGAAAATGTATGCTGTCCAGGACCACCCAGCTCCTGAACCCCCCTTGTCTAGGAACTACCCCTCCCCATGCTCCCATCAACTAGGAGCTATGGTTACAAGACGTAACCCCGCCCCCCCACCACACCGGCTTGAAGCAAGAGTGACCTAATCAAGCCAGGCCAATCGGAGACCACTGGAGTCTTTGAGAAAGATCAGGAGACAAAGCCACACGAACTGAGATGACTAGAAAATGCGTCTTTGGAATAAGATGAGTGTCGGTGAGCTGACAATGACAGTCCTGGCTCCGGAGGCCTCCCCCACACCAGTCCTTTCTGGACCAGAGGCCCACTGCACCTTCCACCCAGATCACACGTTTCCCATTCTGCTTTACCTACTCAAGTTGGTGACTGTTACCGGGGACCAAAAGGGGCCCAGAGATTGAAGAGGCTTTGATTGTGGGTCCTTTTGGGCTTCTGGTTGGCCCCAGTTGGGGGACTGGCTGTAGGCTGGTGCTGCTTTACTGAGTGAGTGTCCCTCTGCCTTGGCAGGGGCGGAAGAGGGGTGTTTGTGAGGCTACTGTTTCTCGACCCATTTTACAGGTGAGGAAACTGAGGCAGGAAACTACATGCCCAAGGTCACACGGTCAATGGGTGGAGCTAGGCTTTGAGATAGTCTGTGTCCTGAGTCAACCCAAGGACTAGAAAGAACTTCTGCATTCAAATAACCAGTAGAAGCAAGCAGGACAGGTGTTGACATGTATTCTCTGAAACAATTTGCTTCTGATACCCTCAGGGCACATGCTTAAGTATTTTCTGTGCCCAGCCACAGATGCTGTCAGCCCCGTCTCTGCCCCCCACCCCCCAGAACTCTGCCCCACCAAACCAAGGAGCTGTGATAGGTACCAAATTACAAACCAGCTGTCATGGGATATAGCCTAGGGCTTTGGGGGTTTCCTTGGGGGTTTCCTTGGGGCTTCTGACAACTCCACCTCCCTCAGACATTCAGCACCTGCCAAAGCCCCTCTGGGACAAGCGGGTGATGGCTTGAGCTTGGTGGGGGCGACCTCCTGCTCAGACCTGTGTCGGCTTGTTGGCAAGATCTTGACGCAACGTATGAAGCTTTCCAAGTCGGGGATGGTCAGTAGCCTCAGGATCCCACTCATTTTCCCTAGAAGGACATGGATCTTCTGAGCCGTGGGACTGACTTCCATCTCCAGGATCGGTTTCTTTTTCATTTCGCTCAGCACCTCCAGGGTAATGTACTGGGGGAATTCACAGAAGGCTGGGTGAGGATTAATGTTGCCCAGACACTACGTGCCCCCCACGGCAGGCCTGGGACCCTGTGGGCAGAGTCTTCCTGGACCCTTCCAGGACCGAGTCTCTCCAGGGCAAACCTGAGCGGCAGTGCTGCCACCAGTGACCTTCCTGCTGCTTCCCCAAGACACTTGGCCCATGCCTCCGGACACACGGGCTACGGTGATTGGGCTGAGACCACATGCCAACCTGACCCCAAACCAAAGGCTGTGCCCTCCTGGGGGCATCTGGCTGCTCCCCACGTGCTCCCTAGCACAGCAGGAGACTGAGCCCTGCCACCGCCAGGGGGGCCGGTGTCTGCCTGTGAGCCCCCCTCCATCTGGGGCTCCCCTGGGGCCTGTCCAGGCCTTCCTGGGATCAGGATGTCAGTCTCCTCAGCTCTGAATCTCAGGGTGTTCGGATGTTAGCTGATTGCCTCTTTTTTGTTTACGCTTACTTTTAATGGGAAGATAGTCGCTTTACAGTGTCGTGTTGGTTTCTGCCATGCAACGTGAATCTGCCATCAGTGTCCCCTCCCTCTAGAACTTCCCACCCCTCTAGGAAATGATTGCCTTTGTACAAGGTCACACGCTGTCAGTGAAGCTAGCCTCCTTTCCCGAGGGGCTGGGCTGGGGCAGAACATAGCCGGGGCGGGGACCGCCCCCAGCCCGCGGGGCCCAGGAGCCCTCAGGGACTGCCCCCAGCCCGCGGGCACCACTTCCAGCCCGAGGGGCCTAGGAGCGGGCGGCTCCCCGCCTGGCAGACGAGGTGGGGAGTCGGACCGAACCTTGAACTTGGTGCCCAGGTTTAAGCAAACGCGCTTCTCGCGGTGGGTGAAGTGGAAGATGATCTTGTCCTGGCTCTTGATTTGTACCTCGACGTACCGGTTGATTTTCAAGGAGATGGGCTGGATGGGGGGCGCATGCACGTGCAGGCTGAGATCCCACCAGTTCCAGGCCTTCTGGTACTCGTCTTTGGCGAAGTAGTAGCCCAGGTTTTGGCTCAGGCTCAACCTAGACCAAGAAGGCATCAGGCAGCCGTGGTGCTGGGCCCGGGGTAGGAGCGGGTGGGGGCACGCCCTCCCCCCTCTCCTGCCCGCCCCCGCCCCCGGAACCCAGGCTGGGTGCCGCCCTTCAGCCCCGGCCTGTCCAGTTCGGTCTCTTCCTGTGCCCCTGGCCCCTCACACCCAGTCACTCCTTGAAAGGACTGAAGTCTAGGTCATGTGTGCTTTTGCCCTCCTCAAGGCTTTGCCATGCTGTTCGCCCTCCTTGGAGAAAGTGTTCCTTCCAGCCTGTGTGGTACAGTGGGTTCTAAGTCTCGGCTTAAATGTCACCTCCTCCAAGAAGCCCTTCTTGACCAGCCCCTCTGGGTCCCAGTATGACAATTCAGCCTCAGTTAGGTTCCTTCATATAATTTACTAATACACATTAATTCTCATTATTTGCTGTAATTAGATTCCATAAAGTTGCCTCAAACACGGAGTTAGCAAATAGTAAACCATTGCTCCCCAGGGAAAGAGGTGTGTGTATATACATGATGGGGGCTTCCCAGGTGGCTTGGTGGTAAAGAACCCGCCTGCCAATGCAGGAGACGCAGCAGACCCAGGTTCGATCCCTGGGTCGGGAAGATCCCCTGGAGGAGGAAATGGCAACCCACGCCAGTATTCTTGCCTGGAGAATCCCATGGACAGAGGAGCCTGGCGGGCTACAATTCATGAGGTCGTAAAAGAGTTAGACTTGACTGGGCAAGCACCGCAGCAGCGCAGACACGTGGATACACTCACATCCTAGAAACACCGCATCCTGGTTCCCACTGGCCCCAGGGCTGGACTTCCCAGCACCACCTGCCCTTCCCCTCCCGGCTCCATCCCCTGTTTCCCGTGTTAAGGGTGGCTTCAAGAAAGCAGAGCAGCTGGGAACGTGCACAGCAGGTAACTCAGATTCTGCCCCGCGCAAGTTTGTGACTCGATGTGCGGTATACACAGGCATCCTTCCCCTGGGAGCAGCGGCTTGGCGTTTGCCAGTTCATGTCCTGGAGACTTGACAGAGCTGAACTATCTTGAATGAGAATCGGCCATCCTTGCTTCTCATCCGTCCTTCCCACTAGTATGGAAACCTAATTGGAAGTCCGGAGTGCGGGGCCCCCATCCGTGTGGCTCCTGGGCAGATGCTGCCCCGAACGGCCCCTGGTGCCCATGTGGCCGCCGTGGGCGAGTGTGGACTGATGGGTTCCTCTCTCTCCCAGTCCGGGCCCTGCTCTCCTGCGAGCGTCCTCTCCTGGCATTTCAAGCCCATCATGTATCCTCCTGCCCCGGCTTCTGCTTTTCACATCCCGCCAGGTCTGTCCTGAGAACCGGTGCAGAAGGTTTTCTCGGGAACAGAACACAGAAGGGGACAGAATCTGAGCCCTGGGCTAGTCAGGAGAAGGCAGGCTTTGGGGGAGCCTGGGTCCCTCAGATCACCTGCCAGGCATTGTCCGAGCTGTCCAGGGACTTTACATTCGGCTCAGGGAGAGGCCGGCTCAGACCTGCTCAGGGCAGCCTCGGTCACCTGCAATAATCAGGACTTCTGGTCACCCCCCAACACTAGGTCCTCCTGTTGCTTCCCACTGCCCATTGAACCAAGTGCAAACTATTAAGTCCCTTCACTGAGCCCAGCCTGTCAACCACACCCCTCTTCACCTAGAGGAGAAACTATGATGCATGTAATGAATTAAAAAAAAACCTAGACTTTTGTAAAGCAATTATCCTCCAATTAAAAAAGCAAGAAAAGACAAAACAACCTGGACTCTTGAGCCAGACTTTCTAGGTTCCTAGCCTGACTTGGTCACTTGCAAGCTGTGTGACTTTGGGCCAGTTACTTAAACTCTCTGTGCCTCAGCTTCAGTGGTAAAATGCAGATAATAACAGTATGTTGCTCATAGGGTATTTGTGAGGATTAAGCTCCTGGGGTCGCACAGAGTCGGACACGACTGAAGCGACTTAGCAGCAGCAAGCACCTGTACCAAGAAGGCACATCTCCAGGCCCCACCCCAGACGGACAGAATCGGGAATCTTGAGGTAGGGGGCAGGGAACAGATCTTCCCCAGCTCTTAGCACCACCCTTCCCCTTGGGTTTGGGTGTGTTGCCGTAAGATGCGGTTTCTCTTGCAAACTTTATTTGATAATTGAAAATAATGCTTTAGTTCAAGCCAAGTCAAAAATTCCATAAAACCTCTTTCCTGTGACTTTACGTATGACCAGGGGCAAACAACTCATCATTTTTTCTGTACCTAAGTTTCCTTATCAAGAAAATAAAAGCAGATTTTCCTCATGGTCTCTTCTGTCCCCCAGATTTAAGGACATTTAGGAGAAGAGCCCCTACTGTGTAGCAGATACTGTTGGAGATGATAGTTTCCTGCCCCCATTTCTTGATGCTTCTTGTATGCAGTACTTTCTTCCAAATCTTAGACATCAAATTCTTTCTTTTAAAAACACTTTTCTATGGATTAAAGATCTAAATGTAAGACCAGAAACTATAAAACTCCTAGAGGAGAACATAGGCAAAACACTCTCCGACATAAATCACAGCAGGATCCTCTATGACCCACATCCCAGAATTTTAGAAACAAAAGCAAAAATAAACAAATGGGACCTAATGAAACTTAAAAGCTTTTGCACAACAAAGGAAACTATAAGCAAGGTGAAAAGACAGCCCTCAGATTGGGAGAAAATAATAGCAAACGAAGCAACAGACAAAGGATTAATCTCAAAAATATACAAGCAACTCCTCCAGCTCAACTCCAGAAAAATAAATGACCCAATCAAAAAATTGGCCAAAGAACTAAACAGACATTTCTCCAAGGAAGACATACAGATGGCTAACAAACACATGAAAAGATGCTCAACATCACTCATTATCAGAGAAATGCAAATCAAAACCACAATGAGGTACCATTACACGCCAGTCAGGATGGCTGCTATCCAAAAGTCTACAAGCAATAAATGCTGGAGAGGGTGTGGAGAAAAGGGAACCCTCTTACACTGTTGGTGGGAATGCAAATTAGTACAGCCACTATGGAAAACAGTGTGGAGATTTCTTAAAAAGCTGGAAATAGAACTGCCATATGACCCAGCAATCCCACTTCTGGGCATACACACCAAGGAAACCAGATCTGAAAGAGACACGTGCACCCCAATGTTCATCGCAGCACTGTTTATAATAGCCAGGACATGGAAGCAACCTAGATGTCCATCGGCAGACGAATGGATAAGAAAGCTGTGGTACATACACAGGATAGAATGTTATTCAGCCATTAAAAAGAATACATTTGAGTCAGTTCTAATGAGGTGGATGAAACTGGAGCCTATTATACAGAGTGAAGTAAGTCAGAAAGAAAAACAACAGTACAGTATATTAACACATATATATGGAATTTAGAAAGATGGTATCAATGACCCTATATGAGAGACAGCAAAAGAGAGACAGATGTATAGAACAGACTTTTGGACTCTGTGGGAGAAGGCGAAGGTGGGATGATCTGAGAGAATAGCATTGAATCATGTATATTATCATATGTGAAACAGATCACCAGTCCAGGTTCAATGCTTGAGACAGGGTGCTCAGGGCTGGTGCACTGGGATGACCCAGAGGGATGGGATGGGGAGGGAGGCGGGAGGGGGGTTCAGGATGGGGAACACATGTGCACCCATGGCTGATTCATGTCAATGTATGGCAAAACCCACCACAATATTGTAAAGTAATTAGCCTCCAATTAAATAAGTTAAAAAAATAGTGTGTTAGTTTCAGGTATATAGCAAAGAGACTCAGTTTTATATACAGATTCTTTTCCATTATAGGTTATTACGAGATATTAAATATAGTTCCTTGTGCTATACAGTACATCCTTGTTTATTTTATGTATAGCAGTGTGTATCTGTTAATACAATATTCTTAATCTGTCCCTCCTTCCACCCTTTCCCCTTTGGTAACCATAAATTTGTTCTTTTTTCCCATGAGTCTGTTTCTGTTTTGTAAATAAATTCATTTGTATTATTTTTTTAGAATCCATATATAAGTGATATATGATATTTGTCTTTCTCTGACTTACTTCACTTAGTATGATAACCTCTAGGCCCATCCATGTCGCTGCAAATGAGATTATTTCATTCTCTTCTGTGGTTGAGTAATATTCCACTGTGTATATATACATATATATACATACACACACACACACACTACATCTTTATCCATTCATCTGTTGATGGACTTCTTTTCGGATTAGAGTTTTCACCTTTTCTGGATATCTGACCAGGAGTGGGACTGCTGAATCATATGGCAGCTGTATTTTTAGTATTTTTTAGGGCATCTCCATACTGTTTTCCATAGTGGCTGCACCAATTTATATCCCCACCAACAATGCAGGAGGGTTCCCTTTTCTCCATACCCTCTCCAGCATTTATTTGTAGACTTTTTAATGATGGCTATTCTGACTGATGTGAGGTGCTATCTCATTGTACTTTTGATTTGCATTTCTCTAATAATAAGTGATGTTGAGCATCTTTTCATGTGCCTGTTATCCTTCTGTATATCTTCTTTGAAATATCTATTTAAGTCTCCTGCCCATTTTTTTTTTTTTTTGGTTAGATTGTTTGGTTTTTTATATTAAATTACATGAGCTGTTTGTATATTTGGGAAACTAAGCTCTTGTTGGTTGCATCATATGCAAATATTTTCTCCCAATCCTTGGGTTGTCTTTTAATTTTGCTTATGGTTTCCTTTGCTGTGTAAAAGCTTTCAAGTTTGAGTAGGCCCCATTTGTTAATTTTTGCTTTAATTTCTTTTGCCTTGGGAGACTGATCTAAGAAAAGATTGTGATGATTTATGTCAGAGAAGGTATTGCCTATGTTCTCTCCCAGGAATTTTGTGGTGTCATGTCTTATGTTCAGGTCTTTAAGCCATTTCAAGTTTATTTTTGTATATGGTGTGATGGTGTGTTCTAACTTTGTTGATTTATATGAGGCTGTCCAGCTTTTCCAACACCACTTACTGAATAGACTCTCTTTTCTCCATTGTATAGTCTTGCCTCCCTTGTTGAAGATTAATTGATTATAGGTGTGTGGGTTTATTTCTGGGCTCTCTGTTCAGTCCCAATGATCCACATATTTGCTTTTGTGCCAGGACCACACTGTTTTAATTACTATAGCTTTGTAATATTATAGACATCAATTTCTATACCCTCCAGGAAGAGCAGATACACATGAGAACAAAGTAGTCAACTAGCAAATGGTGTTGAAAACCTCATAACAGGGAAAATATTCCTAAAAACCAAGGCCTGGAGGGTGAAAATATTTCTTTGGAATTAAAATTTGGCCTTAACTATCAAGAAGTATAAAGTTGGTTCAAGAGAATATGCATTCTCCACTTTGTGACCACTAGAACAGAAGGCAAGGGAGAAATCCTGAAAAGACAGAGTTCTTACACCAAAGAGATGGAGAAAAATTCCAAAGTGAATGAATTACCTTGAATGGGTAAGATGAGGTTCCCTACCATTACCAGAAATGGGAACATAACAGCCAACGAAATTTGTAGAAGTTATGTTTTTAAAATACAATACATGTACCTCCAGCGCACTTATCATACCTTTCTCTCTGCGGCACCTGGAACAGAGAGGGCACTGGGTCTTTCTAAGGCCATTCTTGTGAAGTTCGATTGTTAAGTGAGAGGAGACGAAACCCAAAACTTACTCCAGCTTTTGAGTCTGTGATTGCTATGTCCTGGAGGGGAAGCAATGGTGCAAAAAGGCTGGGGCACCACCTGAGGTCAGGAACCTGTCTTACAGGCTCATCACGACACCCAGCTCCCCATGTGTGGGTTGGACGGATGAATTCTAAGTGAATTAGCGAGAGAAAGAGAGGCTTACCCAGAAAGAGGACAGCTATGCAGACTGGGAATCAAAACCTTAATCACAGAGCTTCTCTGCAGGGAGGGGTGTTTGGGACTCATGCCCCAGGCTTACCAGATGTCTCCATTTTCATCATGGAAGGTGGCATGGCCAGAGTTGTTGATAAGGGCCCGGATGCACGTTTTTGCACTGTCTTCCAGAATGATGTACGTGAACTTGCTCTCTTTTATACTGAGGATGAGCATAGCCAGGTGTCCTGATGGGTAGCTGGGAGATGGTTAAGGCACAAGTATTCCCTTGGGGTCCCCTGCAGAAGGCAGAGAGCCCTGCAGAGCGAGGCAGGCCCCAGTAAAACCCATGCCCCGGCCCCAAATCACAGATTTTTCTGGCATCATATGTGTCCCTTGTTCCAGTGGATACTATATCTGGCCTGATCCATCAGCAAAGAGAATTTGGAAGATAATCTCATCGGGGTAGAGAATTATCTTTCCATCACCTTGAAGTACCTAGGGAGAAGAGAGAAACCTGTGTTGTCACCAGAAGGCTTGACATCAGTCTACTTACTCTCTGATTCCTGCATGCCACCCACCCCTCACTCCCCCACCCATCACCACCACCAACTTGCTGGGGATTCCAGAAGGGAACCTTCGTAGGGGTTTGGTTTACCTGTCTTGGTGTTGAGGAAGCTGAAATGGACCACTCTGTGTTTGTGTGTGCAGATTTTAAACTACCATTTCAATCTAATGATTATCAGTTATACTAATTTCATAGGGCTACAATAGCAAAGTATCAGGCAATTTTAAATTGTAGAAAGTTGTTCTTTCACAGCCGTGGAGGTCAGAAGTCTAAAATCAAGGGGTCAGAAGGGTCAGCTCCTTCTAGAGGCTCAGAGGAAAAATCTGTTCCATGCTTTCTCCTAGCTTTGGTGATGGCCTGCGGTCCTTCCTCTTCCTTGGTTTGTGTATGCAGGGTTCCGATGTCCGGCTCCATCTTCCCTGAGACTTGGTGTCTTCACTGTCCTTCACAAGGACACCAGTCTTACTGGGTTAGGGGCCCACCCTACTCCAGGATGACCTCATCTGAACTAATTACCAATTTTCCAAACAATGTCATAATCTGAGTCAGTGGGGTTTAGGATTTAAACGTATCTACTTTGGAGGGAGGCTCAGTTTCACTGATAACATTAGTATATTCAGGTATTGTATCTCTGAATCAGTTTTGGTGAGTTATATTTTTCTAGGAAATTGTTTATTTTATGTAAATTTTCAAATTTATTGTCATAAAATTTTATGATATAATATTTTCAGAAACCCTCTACTGTCTCTAAGTTGGGCTTCCCAGGAGGCTCAGTGGTAAAGAATCCGCCTGCCAATGCAGGAGATGTAGGAGACATGGGTTTGATCCTTGGGTCGAAAAAATCCCCTGGAGGAGGAATTGGCAACCCACTCCAGTGTTCTCGCCTGGAGAATCCCGTGGACAGAGGAGCCTAATGGGCTACAGTCCACGGGATTGCACAGTCGGACACGACTGAGCATGCACACATGCGCGTCTCTTAGTCATGTCCTTGTCCTCATTCTTTATGGTATATATATGTTTTCTTTTTTCTGGATCATTTGCCTGGAGATTTGCTAATTTTACTTATTTTTTTCAAAGACCCAGCCTTTTGGTTTGCTCATTCTAATATTTTTTGATTTTCCAGTGTATCAATTTTTGTTCCCAGCATTATTTTCTCCATATGGCTGCTTTCTATGGGTTTTCTATGTTAGACTGTGTATTTTTCTTCTAATTCCTTGAATTGAACATTGAGCTCATTGATTTCCATCTTGCTGCTTCTTCACGACCCTCTTCCTCCTCCTCTTCTTTAAGATAGGCATTTAAAGCTATAACATTTCTCTCAAAATTTTAGCTCTTCCCTCCAATAGTAGATACCTTTCATTTCATTCTGAGTATTTTAAAATTTCCAGTATGCCTTCCTCTTTGACACACAGGTTATTTACAGGTGTGTTTTTGAGTTTGCAAATGTACGAGTTGCTTTTGGCTATGTTGTTAATATTACCAATTAAAATCCACAGCGTTGGGACTTCCCAAGTGGTCCAGCGGTTAAGAACCGGCCTTCCAATGCAGGTGATGGTGGTCCCGTGGTTAAGAACCCACCTTCCAATGCAGGGAAGGCAGGTTCAATCCCTGGTCGGGGAACTAGGATTCCACGTCACCCAGGGCAATTAGGCCTGCACAATGCAACTAAGACCCAACAAAGGCAAACATTTATATAGAAATACTAAAAACAATCCGCAGGGGTGAGAGAGCAGAGTCCAGATGGTATCACCTCCATCTTTGGCTGTGCTGGGTCTCACTTGTGGCGTGTTGGATCCAGTTCCCGGACCAGGGATTGAACCCTGGCCCCCTGCCTTGGCAGTGAGAAGTCTTAGCCCCAGGACCACCGGGGAAGTCCTGGTATCAGCTCTTTAGTGCTTGCAAAGTGTTCTGTGGTTAAATGTGTCAGCATTCACTGTAGCTACTTCACTGTGCCTGAGAAGGACGTGTGTCCTCCAGCGGCCTCGAGTCCCCACCAGACATTAAAATGCAGGCCTTTTCTCCTGCTTCCCACACGCCGCTCACTCTCACTATCCGCATTTTCCAGGTTCTGTTTCTGGTGTTGCCCCCTTCCTTTCTTATGCACTCTTCGTGTGTATGTGTGCTCAGTCCTGTCCTACTCTTTGCTACCCCATGGACTGTAGCCGGCCAGGCTCCCCTGCTCATGGGATTTTCCAGGCAAGAATACTGGAGTGGATCGCCATTTCCTTCTCCAATATACTCTTATATACTCTAGATTTAAATACTGTACATATAAACTTCTGCATTTACACACTATACATTTAAAAGGACATTTTTTTTTTACATTTTATTTAAATTTCCCAGGTGTTTGTAGCAGGATGCCTTTTCCCGTCATGTTTTATCCTGCATTACTCTAACTAGGTGTCGGATCTGTGGTTTTCAAGCTCTTACTTTTAATGACTGAAGAATCCTTCACTCAAGAGAGCTCACTGCAGAGTGCCCAAATCTGAGACAATGAAAGAATAAGGTGCAGCTGGCTGGCGAGGAGCTGCTGTGGACTCCGCAGGGCGTGGCCTTCAATGCCCAGGAACCGCTCCACCAGGGGATGAAGATCCTGTGACTGACTCTGTCCCTACAGCAGCGTTTGCGCTCAGCACGGGACTTCCACAACACAGTGACCTCAGAGAAGGCGCTATTATTTTCCCCGTTTAAGAGAGGCGTTCCACTAGGGGGCACTAGTGGCAAAGAATCCGCCTGCCAATGCAGGAGACTCAGGAGATGCAGGTTTGATCCCTAGGATGGGGAAGATCCCCTGGAATAAGAAATGGAACCAGCTCCAGTAAACTTGCCAGGAAAGTCCCATGAACAGAGAAGCCTGGCGGGCTACAGTCCATGGGGTTGCAAAGAGTCAGACATGACCGAGCGACCTACACAAGGCTATCCAATGAAAGGGGACCCAGACTCCCACAGTCTGTCCCTGCCACCCCCAGCCAGGTGGCTCATCCTTGGAAACGTACCGCCTCCAGCCATTAAGCTACCAGCCATCTCGCTCATTTACTCTACAAACCACTGCCCCCTCTCTTTTTTTACCCTAAAGAAAGCACTTTATAAGGTCATCTATGGTTGGTTTCTTCCTGATAACAGGTAAGAAGCTTCTAGATTTTGCTCACGGGGGAGGATTTTCTATTTTAGGTCTTATTTTCAAAAGCTACCTGAAGCCAGAATTTCCTAATACACTTTCTTTTCATCAAATTCACTTGTCATGGAATGACATTTTCCTAAAAACAAGAAGCCACGGGCAAAGAAAAATCCCTGACACAGAGATAGAGTCGTTCCATTTTCCCTCACTGGGAAATATATCACACAAAGCCCAGAGGATGAATCTAATAATTCTGGCCTGAGCAACTGAGAAAAAGCTGTATTATCACTTAGTAAATTGGGGCACACTTGAGACTACTAGAAACTAACATTTATGTAATATCATGCAGGTTTTAAAGCACCTCTGCATATAATGTGGACTTAGCTTTTTCCAACAATTTTGTGGGATAAGTATGGTCTTATTATCTTCACTTTACAGTTCAAGAAAGTGAGACCCAGAAAAACATACATGATGGTCTTAAGCACAGAGGTTGTTATTAGTCAGGGCTACTCAAAAAATATGCCCAGTCAGCCAGCTTCTCACCACCTCCCATCACCAGCCTAGTAGAGATACACGTTGTCTCTCACCTGCATTAATACCTGGCTTCCAGCTGAACTTGCTGCCCTTACTCTTGCCCCCTTAAGCCTGTTCCCCATAGAGCAGCCAGAAAGATACTTCTAGAGCTTAAGCCAGATGATGTTGCCCCTGCTCTAGCCCCTCTAGTGGCTCCATGGCATCCTTTGGATAAAACCGTGACCCCCAAGGCTCTACCTGACCTAGACACCGAGCTCATTTCTCACTTGCTCACCGCCGTCTGGAGGCTCAGGGCCTCAGGGCCTTTGCATGTGTTAGCTCTGCCTAGGACACTCCTCCAAACCTCTAGGGGCTCACTCCCTCTTTCCATGCCTGCCTAGGCTCAAATGGCGCGTCTGCGACTGCACTAAAAGCAGGACAGTCACTCCTTTCTCAGCCCAGCAGCTCTAGAGCCCCTCCTCCTGCTTTCCTTCCTGCGGCACCTAATAACACCTACCTTGGCACTGAACAGAGTTTTGTGCGTTGACTGCTCAGTCGTGTCCGACTCTTTGCCACCCCATGGGCCACAGCACACCAGGCCTCCCTGTCCATCACCAACTGCTGGAGTTTACCCAAACTCATGTCCATCGAGTCGGAGATGCCATCCAACCATCTCATCCTCCGTCGTGTGGACTGTGTGCTCAACTAAAACGTAAGGTCCATGGCTCCCAAGGTTTGTTTGTTCACCCTTGTAGCTCCAGCACCTAGAAGAGGGCCTGGGGCATTGTGTGTTCTCAGAATATATTTACAGAAAGCAGAGAGTCTATCACATCTTCCTATTTCCCCTTTCAGTGCCTTTTTTTTTTAACTCTGGACCTTATTAGCTCATGTGACTAACTGAGACTAGGTTTCACTTATGGCTTTATAGTGTCCATCTTTATAAATATACCATGTGATTGGCTTTTACAGATAGGCTTTATTTTTTTAGAGCAGGTCACAGCAAAATTGAGTAGAAAATGCAGAGATTTCTCATAAACTCTCTGCACCCCCACACACGTGCAGCCTTCCCCCACTATCAACATCCCACACCACGGTGTACATTTATACAAAGAATTTATACTGCACATCACCATTACCCAGAGTCCATAGTTTACCCTGGGGTTCACTCCTGGTATTCTACATTCTGCGGGTTTATACAAATATATAATGACATATGGTCTTCCCTGGTGGCTCCGCTGTAAAGAACCCACCTGCAACGCAGGAGACACAGGTTCGATCCCCGGGTCGGGAAGATCCCCTGAAGAGGGAAATGGCAACCGACTCCAGTATTCTTGCCTGGAGAATTCCATGGACAGAGCAGCCTGGTGGGCTACAGTCCATGGGGCCTCAAAGGGTCAGACATGGCTTAGTGACTAAACAGCGATAATAATGACATATATCTACTGTTACAATACAATACATAATGTATGCATGGCCCTAAAAACCATCTCATCCTCTGTCGTCCCCTTCTCTTCCTGCCTTCAATCTTTCCCAGCATCAGGGTGTTTTCAAATGAGTCATTTCTTCCCATCAGGTGGCCAAAGTATTGGAGTTTCAGCTTCAGCATCAGTTCTTCCAATTAATATTCAGGACTGATTTCCTTTAGGATTGATTTGTTGGATCTCCTTGCAGTCCAAGGGACTCTCAAGAGTCTTCTCCAACACCACAGTTCAAAAGCATCAATTCTTTGGCTTTCTTTATAGTCCAACTCTCACATCCATACATGACTACTGGAAAAACCATAGCTTTCACTAGACGGACCTTTGTCAGTAATGTCTCTGCTTTTTAATATGCTGTCTAGGTAGGTCATAGCTTTTCTTCCAAGGAGCAAGCGTCTTTTAATTTCATGGCTGCGGTCACCATCTGTGCAGATTTTGGAGCCCAAGAAAATAAAGTCTGTCACTATTTCCACTGTTTCCCCATCTATTTGCCATGAAGTGATGGGACCAGATGCCATGATCTTAGTTTTCTGAATGTCGAGCTTTAAGCCAACTTTCTCACTCTCCTCTTTCACTTTCATCAAGTGGCTCTTTAGTTCCTCTTCACTTTCTGCCTTAAGGATGGCATCATCTGCATATCTGAGGTTATTGATGTTTCCCCCAGCAATCTTGATTCTAGCTTGTGCTTCATGCAGCCCGGCATTTCACATTATGTACTCTGCATATAAGTTAAATGAGCAGGGTGACAATATACATCCTTGACATACTCCTTTCCCAATTTGGAACCAGTCTGTTGTTCCATGTCTGATGCTAACTGTTGCTTCTTGACCTGCATACAGATTTCTCAGGAGGCAGGTAAAGTGTTCTGGTATTCCCATCTCTTTCAGAATTTTCCACAGTTTGTTGTGATCCACACCGTCAAAGTCTGTGGCATAGTCAATAAAGCAGGAGTAGGTGTTTTTCTGGAACTCTTTTGCTTTTTTGATGATCCAATGGATGTTGGCAAATTTGATCTCTGGTTCCTCTGCCTTTTCTAAATCCAGTAAATCCCCACCCACACCGCCAAACAAACAAACAACAAAACAAACGCCAGGGCATTGCCACAATTACCTTAATCTTGCTGTTGATCCAGTCCATATCTAGTTGTAACTTCTTCGTACGGCGAGCAACACGACGATGTTTCTCTGGCTCCATCTCCTCCTCCTCGTCTTGTAGTGGCATATTACATAAGTGAAACGTGAGAGTGCTCTCTGTAGTCCTTTGGGCATGTAAGGCTTCGGTAGAAAAGAGAAAGAAAACTTAGATCTATTTCTCTCGAGGAACCCAAAGAGAGTTTGAGGATTTGGGATATTGGCCATATTTCCCCAAGCTCTTATTTTTTCCCATTCATTCTTTCATTTCACACACAATTATTAAGGGCCTGTGAGGTGCCAGTTCAGTGTCAGATGCCCGACACCACGGTGAACACCACCCAGTCCAGACTTGGGGATGTGAGGGGTGACATACCAGCCGTGTGCCAGTAACAAGTGAGGCTGCTGAGTCTGGTAATTTAAAAAACAGGCTAAAGTGGGAGTCATAAAAAAAAGGAAATATACCTTAAACATGCTATTTTAACTTAAAACACAAATGAATACTAACACTGTTTTAAAATTTTATCTTTAATTGGAGGACATTGCTTTCCAACGTTGTTAGTTTCTGCTGCACAACAAAGTGGATTGGCTCTGTGTATACACGTGTTCCCTCCCTGCTGAGCCTCCTGCGGCATCCCAGCGCTCTAGGTCATCACAGAGCGCTGAGCTGAGCTTGCTGTGCTGTGTTAGCAGGTTCCCACTAGCGAGCTATTTTCTACATGGTAGCTAACACACCATTTTTAAGTGCAGGACTCAGTGGTTACGTTTGCTGAAAGCCCATTCATAATTTATTATCCAAAACTTTCAATTTTGGCAATTTCTACATAGTCTGAGTGCAGGATTGTAGACTTGGGGGAAAAAAAAAAACTTCTGTATATCCCCCAGCCTTTTGGGTATGTTTGGTGCACACCTAGTTCTAAGCAGTATTTGTAAAACTACTTTCTTATTGCTGCTGCTGCTAAGTCGCTTCAGTCGTGTCCGACTCTGTGCAGCCCCATAGATGGCAGCCCACCAGGCTCCCCCGTCCCTGGGATTCTGGAGTGGGTTGCCATTTCCTTCTCCAATGCATGAAAGGGAAAAGTGAAAGCGAAGCCACTCAGTAGTGTCCGACTTGCAGCGATCCCAGGGACTGCAGCCTACCAGGCTCCTCTGTCCATGGGATTTTCCAGGCAAGGGTACTGGAGTGGGTTGCCATTGCCTTCTCCAACGTTCTTATTGAGTCTTCTCAAAAGCATTCCACTTAGTTTTCACAGCAGCAGCAAGTTTCTTTTTAATCTTCATTTGGGCCCATTTTTGTTAACTATTGAATTTTGGAGTAAGCTAGCAAGGACTCTTCCCCGGGGGAGGCGTGCCGTTGGTATCAGCCAGGATGCTCTTCCCCGCAAGGGGGCCACTCCCTCCGCAACTAGATTTGGGGGAGGTCAGTTAAGAGAGCTTGGTTGTCCCACCTCTGGGGCCAGCACAGCGTTGGAAGACGTGACAGCTTGTTGACCCGGGAGCTGGGCGGGGCATGGAAGTCTCCCCGCCCCCTTCCTGGTCCTTGGCATGTACGTTCTGCCCACGGTCCCCACACTGGGAACCCTTTGCAAGGATGCAGCCTCTCGGGCACTATGCTGTTGAGCCCACCTGGACGGATACATGTCTGAAGCCAGGTAAGTCCTCCATTTAAACGTTAAGATTCTGGCCGGTGGAGGTGGAAATCGATAAGTCTTGTGCCAACGGAGACATGCGTACGTCGGGTTTAAGTTCTCTTGCTTTTTAAACCCGCCGCCTACAGCGTGGGGTGGACTGCCTCTCAGGCCTTCTCTTGCCCTCTGCTGCTGCTAAGTCACTCAGTTGTGTCCAACTCTTTGTGACCCCATTGGCTGCGGAACTGACCTTCACTGTCTCCTGGAGTTTACTCAGACTCGTGTCCATGGAGTTGGTGGTGCTATCTTATAGGGGCTGATTTAGAATTTCACCCCAGGAACTCTGAGGTTGCCAACACAGAGGGCAAGGTGCCATCGGAGCTCACAGGGACCCTATCCAGGCCTGGAGGTTGTGCACAGAGTGGAAATTGTCTCTAGTTTGCCAGGTGGAGTTCCTAGCATAAGGGCTGCGTGGTTGAAGGCTAGCATGAGACCAGCTTAGTATTAACGGGTGACTCTGGAGAGATAGGCAGGGCTAGGTCACTCCTTTATCCACTCACTCAGGAAATATCCATTGAGTTCACATATGCCACAAGCTGTCCTAGGTACCAGGGCTGGCACCATGCCTGCTGCTCGTTCTAGTAGGGGAGATGGACGCTACACAAGTGAACAGGTGAAAACTTCACCTGCTGGTGGCTAGGAGTGCCCTGAAGAATGATCGTGCGTGTGTGTGCACACTGCTTTGTAAAGGGTAGCCAAAGCAACAGTTTCTGAGAAGATGACTTTTAAGCAGAGACCTGAATAAAGTGAGGGAGCAAGTCACAAGGATATTGGCGTGCAGAGTACTCTAGCCAGAGGACTGCACGTCCAAAGGCCCTGTGGCAGGGAGGCCTGCTCACGTGGTGAATAACAGAAAGGCCAGTGTGCCTGGCATGGACAAGAGTGAGGGCCTTTGAAGCCATGTGGGGAAAATGTGGAATTTTCCTGGAGGTAGTGGAGGGCCAGGGAAGTGTTTTAAAAAGGTTTTGCTGGAAAGAATGTGAAGAAAGGACTGAGAAAGGACAGGATGGGTCAGGGACTCTGGGGCAATGAAGGTGTCTGAGGTGGTGTCGGTGATGTCGGAGAGGGGGGGGGGGGGACCTGGGGAGAGGAGAACACAGCCGTGTGCCCCTGAGGAATGGAAGGGGGCCGCTCCTTAGACCTCACAGAGGAGCTTGTCCTCAGGGAGGTGAGGAGAGAGAGGTGGGCGGGGGCAGAGTCGATGAAAGTGCTTTGTGAGTGGTTTGGACGCAGGCCTCAGTCTCTCTCAGAGGAGCCCTCCTCCAGTGCTTCTGTCCAGAGTGGAGGCGATTTGTCCAGGGGGGAGGCGGATGTGAGCCCAGCTGCTCTTCCTGAGAGTCAGTCAGAGAGGAACAGAGAGCCTTCCTGAAGTGGTCACGGTAACAAGGGACACGGATATGCTCATTCTTTTCCCCTGTCAGAAGGCGAGAATCGCGGATTTCCTGGTTTGTGCTGTATAACCAGCTCTGTCTTTAATAGGGGGAGGTGTCAGGCTGCCTGTCTGAGCCTCAGTTTCCTTAAAGTGGGGTCGGGCTGGCTGCAGAGACCCGTCAGGTTCCTCTGAAACGATGCTGCTTGGAGGCCGCTGTCCGGAGACGGGCCACAGGCCTGTGTCCTTCACACGGGGAGCTTTGGGGTCTGATGGCTCATGACATGAGCTGTGTAGTAGCTCCCACTTCTTTTCACCCACAGGAGAGGCTATCTAATTTCAAAATGCAGGTATCCTTGTTTTAAAATTACTCAAGATTTCAGGGACTTTCCCGGTGGTCCAGTGGTTAAGACACTGCACTCCCAGTTGCAGGGTGCATGGGTTTGATCCCTGGTCGGGGAGCTAGAACCCCACATGTTAGGCAACCAAAATAAATTAATGAAGGATTTCAAGACAGTGGCAGCCGAGCATTAAAAGCAAGCACAGGGCCCTGAGTGTGGGGGGCTTGCGTCCCTGCACAGCTCACATTCCTGCGAAGCCATCCTTGGCTTGGAAATCGGAGGGTTCAGAGACAAGGGGCTGCCTGCAGCAGTCATTCTATAGGAGTTAGGTCAGGGGCATATACTTACTGGCATGGGGATGGGAACACTTCCTGAGAGGGAATCCGGGGCTTTGTCCTGGCTCAGCAAGAAAAAGCATGTGATGGATGAGGTGTGTCAGCTGAGGCTGTCGTTGCCAATTCTAGGTCAGTGGGATCTGGTCATCTGGAAGATGTTCCAGCTGGCAGTTTGGAGTTCTGAATTAAGTAGCCGGGTAGCTTAGGCTCTTGGCTCAGACTTTTTGATGAGACCCCCCCCAAAGCTGGCAAAGTCCATGATTGGCAAGTCTTAGCAGCTGGACCTCCAATGCCTTTCAGTTCAGTTCAGTGGCTCAGTCGTGTCCTTCTCTTTGTGACCCCATGGACCACAGCACGCCAGGCCTCCCTGTCCATCACCAACTCCTGGAGTTTACTCAAACTCATGTCCGTTGAGTCAGTGATGCCATCCAACCATCTCATCCTCTGTCATCCCCTTCTCCTCCCGCCTTCAATCTTTCCCAGCATCAGGGTGTTTTCAAATGAGTCAGTTCTTCTCATCAGGTGGCCAAAGTATTGGAGTTTCAGCTTCAGCGTCAGTCCTTCCAGTGAATGTTCAGGACTGATTTCCTTTAGGATGCCTTTAGTATCTGGTAAAGGGGCTATTTCTTTCTTAAACTTTGTGTTAAAGACTTCTTAGACCCTCCCCCAATACAGGGTAGATGCCTTCTTGTGTGGTCCCATAGTATCCCCTTCCCACCAAAGCATTAACTATTTTATATGCAGATTCCCTGCTTTCCTGTTTATCTTCGCCTCCTGCTCTCCCTCCCACCCTCATCACAATCAAAGGATAAGCCCCTTGAAGTCCCAGACCATGTTTGTGTTTCTCGCTTGCTCAGTATTTTAATCCCTGGCATGTGAGACTTTACTGGCCCAATACATGCTCAAGTGAGGGAACAAGCATTTCTGCCTCCTTGAGGGACACAGGGGAAGGTGGGAGACAGTGAGATGCACCCAGGAGAACCAGGTAATGGGATGGAAAATGGGGAGAGGAGTTCTTACTTTCCCGTTTCCTCATAATCCAGAGGATCGTCTTCTTGTAGTTTTCAAAATTTTTCTTCAACCTGAAAGGAAGGTGAATCGGCTTTAAAAGCTGAGACTGAATCGTGTTTACATGTCATGCTAAGCGGCAGATAGAGCTGGGGCCGGCTCCATCGTTTCATAGGCGGAGACTTGGCTGGATGGCTCTGCCTCTGCAACAAGCTTTCTTCCAGTCTGTACTCAGGAATAAAGGGCCAGCACCTGGTGTTGTGTATCCCTCCTGGCCTTTAATTGGCCTTCAACCTGGGCACCTGGGCTGACCCCAGATCTTTCAAAATGAATTCAGTGGGGTTCCTCTTGGGAATGAAGCCAGGGTCGGGAGATTCAAAGCCAGCCAAAGCTGACGCTATGAGTTCAACTCGTGCAGGTTGTTTTTTCTGTGGTTTGTGCTCTTGTGCACATTCAGTAAAGCCTGTTCAGAAAGAGCTCAGAGAAACGGTATCATTTGTGAGCTGGACACAGCCACCTGAAACTCCTTTGCACTGAGTAGGAAAATTTCAAATAAACTCACTCAAAAATGACTCACCAGGAAAGCCACATTAAGGCACAGCTCTTCAAAATGATCAAGCCTTCTACACCTCCTCTCATGTCGATATACAAAGTGAGTCATCCTGGCATTTCAATGGCTGGGACTGTTTTCCTGCCAAATAAGGGTGGTCTCCAGAGACAGCAGCCTTTCCTGGTTCTCAGATCAGAGACCTTTTGAAAGGGAATCTGCCGGAAGGAGGGAGCTTCCAAGGCTTAATTGGATCTGAGCAGAGGGCCTTTGACACGGCAGATTTTAACTTCCCGCTTCAGAATCCTCGAAGAGAGCATAATAATTTAACCCCAAGCAACCTCAGGAAGCAAATACCATCTGCTGGAAAGGGCTGGGCTGTTTTGCCTGGTGGAAAGGAGGTTTAGTGTCTGTACTTTAGATGCTGTTTGCAAGTTGAGAATGAGCTCTTCATGGCCCATTTGTGCCAAGGGTTCTTTGTTTTATTTGCAAGCACTGTGAATGGAATTGAAGCAGTTACTTCACCTACCATCACCTGTGAAAGAACAAGGAGGAAGAGGGTGGGGTGAAGCCTGTCCAGGCTGACAGCAGGATGCCAGGTGCATGCAGGAGTTAAATTCCAGTGAGGGGATCCCTCCAGAGGCACCCAGTGCCCTTTGGGGAAGGTTCTTTCCTTGGTTCTTTGCTCAGCTTTGCAAGCTAATGGAATCCCTACTAGCTTTGCTAGTAAGTGTACACACTACTGTATAGACCAACATACAGTAGGTGCATTCATTGGGTGCAGTTAGGTTAGAATGAGCCTTGGTTATGGGCTTAAACGAGAAAGAAGGGGGAGAAAATGTAACCTAGAATGTAGGATAACCTACAATGGTATTATTTGGGATTTTTATTTTTCTTGTTTTATGAGGATCTGAAAACTTGGGTGTTCTTTGTATTTTGTGTATTTAGCCTTCCCTTTTCCTAGAGAAGCCTTAGGGGTCTCTGGCCCCAGGACTGTATTGAGCCCAAAGCAGAAGTTGCTGGCAGTCAGTCTCTCCCTGATTTTGGGGAGTCTTCATTCACCAAGGAGGCTATGCATGGTACCCCATCCCCCACAGCCTGTTCCTCGGAGCCCCTCCCAGAGAGTCATGGTCATGATGATGGTCAGATGCAATGCCTGACCATGTCCCTTGTTCACCAAGGCTTCTGACAGCTGGATAAGTGAAAATCCAGGCTTCCTTGTACCACAGACTGGATGTACAGATAGGGTTCTGGAATATTTTGTGACTGGGGTCATGCCAACTAGAAAGATTTGGTGCCAGCAGCCATCTGCAATAACTTTATTGCTCCCCAAGCCCCTGCCATGTCCCAGGTCAGTGACGCTTGGGGCTTTTCCCCCTCAAGGAGCATGGAGAAGCAATGGGTAGCCTAGGATGAAGCTAAGGAATTTCTTGGGAAGATGCCCATGAGCTTGATCCCCCCACTGTCCCTTTTCTTCAAAGGCTCAGGGGTCTGAGCCTTGCCTCCCGGACTTTCGTACAAGTTCACGGTCCCTTCAAGACTTTTTCTTGCCTGGGATTTCCAGCCTGTGTCCCTGCTCACCTTTGATGCTATCTTGCACATCCTGTGTTCATAGATTTCTTTGCCTTTGAGTTTTGGCAGCCGGATCATCCTGTCCCCTGACCCCTAATCTTACCCTGTCCTGTGTCTGGCTTGTGCCAGCTCTTTGACTCAAGGAAGCTTCTGGACCCTGGCCTTCCTCTGTGCTCTCATGGCCCAGTTAATGCTCTTCTCGGCAGCTAGCTTTGGTCTACCTGCACCCAGCGACCAGTACCTTCCCAGTGACCAACAGTTCCATCCCTCTTGTCACTTACAGAATTCCCAGCTTCCTTCTGGTTTCACCCTCCAGATGACCAGTCAGGGGAATGGTAATATCCTCCTCCAGTTCGTTGCGAACAGCCATTTCTTTGAGCACAGTCCTGAACACCGACTGATAGGAGGTGGTCGAAACCTGCTAAAGAGTTAATATTTACTGTATATAAATCTTCTTCATCTACCTCTATTTAACTTTGCATATCTATTCTTGCTTTCTTTTCCTCTCAAAATATTTGTTAGTTTTGTTTTCATTGCTTTATTCCCCACTTGGCACCTTGCTTTCATTTTGTTTTCCAGTTTGTGCTTTAGTTAGTTTTGTTCTTAACTGGTAAATATAATTTTTGATTTCCTTTGTTAGCTGGGTCAATCTACTGTATTTTATTTTTGTTGGACCGTTTTGACTTTGCTTATAGGCATATATGTATATGTGTATATTCCATTATTTTAATTATTATTTGCCTGATTTTGTGACTGCCATTTGTCTGGGGTTCATCTTTGGTTTCTTGGTTTTGGGTACTTGTTTTAATCTCACTTAATGCCATAACAAACCACTTGTGAAATCTTCGTTCCTGACCAAAGATCAAGCCCTGAGCCTTTGGAGTGGGAGCACGGATTCCAAGACCCTAGACCACCAGAGAACCCTAGGGAGTTCTTCATTCATTCCCCAATGAAGACCCTAGGGATACTCCCTAACCCTAGGGAGTATCAAACAGTGAGAATTCACACAAAGGAAACCACCTGAATACAAGACCCAGCATCACCCAACCACCAGTAGCACCCTGTGCACCCTCATCTAAACAACAAACAAAACAAAAATACAAACCAAATCATTAGCGGGCAGGATTACTACCTCATTCAGCCTTGTCCATCAGAGGAAAAACAAACAAACAAAAAACCCAGCACAAATCTCACCCTATACGAAGCTTACAGAAACCACTGGACCAACCTTACAAGGGCAGAAACCAAAAGAAGGAAAGAATTCAACCTTGAAGTCTGGGAAAAGGAGACCTCAAGCACAATAAGTTAAAAAAAAAATAATGAAAAGGCAGAGAAATACTACACAAATGAAGGAACAAATTAGAAACACAGAGATCCAAATAAATGAAGAGAAAATAGGCAAACTACCTGAAAAAGAATTCAGAATATTGATAGTAAAGATGATCTAAAACCTTGAAAACAAAATGGAGAAAATGCAAAAATCAATTAACATAGACCTAGAAGAATTAAAGAATAAACATACAGAGACAAGCAACACAATTACTGAAATTAAAAATACTTTGGAAGGAATCAATAGCAGAATATCTGAAGCAGAAGAACAAATCAGTGAGCTGGAAGATAAAATGCTGGAAATAACTTCTGAAGAGCAAAATAAAAAGAATGAAAAGAACTGAGGATAGTCTCAGAGCCCTTGGGGACATTATCAAATGCACCAACATTCGAATTATAGGGGTCCCAGAAGAAAAAGACAAAAAGAAAGGGTATGAGAAAATTTTTGAAGAGATTATAGTTGAAAATTTCCCTGACATGGAAAAGGAAATAGTCAAACAAGTCCAAGAGGCACAAAGAGGTCCCACACAGGATAAACCCAAGGAGAAACACGCCAAGACACATACTAAGTGAACTAACAAAGGCTAAACACAAAGAAAGAATATTAAAAGCAGCAAGGGAGAAGCAGCAAGTAATGTACAAGGGAAACCTCATACGTTATCTTTCAGCAGAAACTGCAGGCCAGAAGGGAATGGCAGGATATATTTAAAGTACTGATAGGGAAAGGGAAACATCTACAACCAAGATTATTGTACCCAGCAAGGATCTCATTCAGAATTGATGGAGAAATAAAAAGCATTTCAGACAAGCAAATGTTAATAGAATTCAGTATCACTAAACCAGCTTTACAACAACTGTTAAAGGGACTTATATAGTCAAGACATACAAGAGAAGGAAAAAGATCTACATCAGTTCAGTTCAGTCGCTCAGTCATGTCCAACTCTTTACGACCCCATGAACTGCAGCATGCCAGGCCTCCCTGTCCATCACCAACTCCTGGAGTTTGCCCAAACCCATGTCCATTGAGTCGGTGATGCCATCCAACCATCTCATCCTCTGTCATCCCCTTCTCCTCCTGCCCTCAATCTTTCCCAGCATCAGGGTCTTTTCAAATGAGTCAGCTCTTCGCATCAGGTGGCCAAAGTATTGGAGTTTCAGCTTCAACATCAGTCCTTCCAATGAACACCCAGGACTGATCTCCTTTAGGATGGACTGGTTGGATCTCCTTGCAGTCCAAGGGACTCTCAAGAGTCTTCTCCAACACCACAGTTCAAAAGCATCAATTCTTCGGCGCTCAGCTTTCTTTATAGTCCAACTCTCACATCCATACATGACCACTGGAAAAACCATAGCCTTGACTAGACGGACCTTTGTTGACAAAGTAATATCTCTGCTTTTTAATATGCTGTCTAGGTTGGTCATAACTTTCCTTCCGAGGAATAAGCGTCTTTTAATTTCATGGCTGCAGTCACCATCTACAGTGATTTTGGAGCCCTCAAAAATCAACCCCAAACAATTAAGAAAATGGCAATAGGAACATATATGTCAATAATTACTTTAAATGTAAATGAATTAAATGCTCCAACCAAAAGACACAGACTGGTTGAATGGATACAAAAACAAAGACCGATATATATGCTGTCTACAAGAACCCCACTTCAGACCTAAAGACACACATAGACTGAAAGTGAGAGGATGGAAAAATATATTCCATGCAAATGGGAAACAAAAGAAAGCTGGAGTAGCAATCCTCATATCAGACAAAATAGACCTTAAAGAAGATTACAAGAGATAAGGAAGGACACTACATAATGATCAAGAGATCAATCCAAGAGGAAACCTGCAAAGGGACTGCAAAATGAAATAGCCTGAAATTTGATTCCCTGATGTGCCAGATGAGATTTCAACATGTAATTGGAAAAAGACAGTGGGAACAGTAGGATGACTAGCAAGATTTGTTCTGAAGATTGTCTCCCTAACGGTCACACCCTCTTCTCATTCCCCAGTTCCCTTAAGAATATATATTTTTTAATAGTAGCATACCAAGAAGTCTTTTGAGAGCATAAAATTACCTCCTTCTTCCAAATGTAGAGAAGGCTCTAGAACATAATATTGCATTCATGGCTTGAGAGCATAAAGCTTTTTTAGTTCCTGGAATGACCAAGCTGTCAGTGGTTGGTTATTTATCATATCATAAATAACTGTGAAGGATAAGAGTCTTCAGGAAACCAGGGTAGTACCTAGCATGTTCTTGTAGTGGATAATTCTGTCTTTAAGGATTCTTCCAAAGTAATAACACTGCAAGCTACCTTTTAATTTTGTAGATTTGTTCATTCTATCTCAAGTCTGTGAGGTTAACCAGGACTGACCCATAGGTTGGTCTTCACAAGAGTTTCTTTTTTTGACTCCCTTTTGGTAGAAGGTGAATTGTGACTTGCTGTCCAGAAGAACTGCAGGTCGTCACATCGCCCTGCTCACTACAGGTTGAGATTGTTAGGGAGGTTGTTCCACATCTGTTAGTGTACAGTCTACCATTCACTTACAAGCCTCCTAAAGTAAGCAGTGGGGGCGGAGGGGCGGCTTCCCTGGTGGCTCAGTGGTAAAGAATCCACCTGCCAATGCAGGAGACACGGGTTCAACCCCTGGGTTGGGAAGTTCCCCTGGAGAAGGAAGTGGCAACACACTCCAGCGTTCTTGCCTGGAAAATTCCATGGACAGAGGACCGTGGCTGTCTGCAGTTCATGGGGTTGCAAAAGAGGCACACATGTCTTAGCAACTAAACAACGACAACAAAAAGGAAGCGGGCGACCCACATACCCAAAGTCGCATGTGACCTGGGGCAGATACAAGGATGGAGCTTGCCGTTGCTGGCTTTTCCAGGTTGGGGAAAACCTGGGGTGTCTCGGGACCGACTTGCTTGATTCCCAGCCTCTCCTCATTGCTGGTGTTCAGTTAATTAAACACAGAGGCCATCAGACTGAGGAGGCTCTGAGGCCATGGTGCCCCGAGTAAGCAAACAAAAACCTCAGCCTGTAAATGCCTCAAGCCTAAGACATCAAAATCCAAGGACAACCACTCACAAGCAGCCGGCTTGGCTTTAAGCCAGTCAGCCAATAATTTCCTTGCTCTGCTTCTGCCTTTTCTGTCTCTCCTCAGCTCCTGTTGGCTGAGGGCTCTTAGCCACTTCCGGTCTGGTACTGCCTGATTGTAATCATACGGGCTCAAACTCTTCAGATTCTTAGTAGGCCTCAGTTCATCTTTTCACACTGGAATGTATCAGTGCTTCGGGGCAGACTGAGGTGAAGGCTTGTCGTCCCAATATTCCTGCCTCTAAATTCTTTATTATTGACCATTCCTCCTTGAGTTGGAGCGATGGCCCAATTGCCCAGGCTGGTCTTTCATGAGTCCTTTTGTTGTTTTTTTTTAATTTTAGTTTTTATTTTATTTTTGGCGGTGCTGGGTCTCTGTTGCTGCCTGAGGGCTTTCTGTAGTTTCGGCGAGCAGGGGCTACTCCCTGGTTGCTGTGTGCAGGCTTGTCAGCGTGGTGGCTTTTCTTGTAGAGCGTGGGCTCTAGGCACGCGGGCTCAGTCATTGCAGCTTGGTAGCTGTGGCGCTTGGGCTGAGTTGCCCCGAGGCATGTGAGGTCTGTCAGATCCCACTGTCAGAATAACCACGGTCCAGGTTGATGGCTGCCTCCAAGTCAAAGGACCTCAGCTACGTCTCTCCCCTGGGTACCTCAGTGGTTTCTGGTGCTCCCCCTCCCAAAGGCCTCAGAAGTCCACACAGACAAGTCTCTCAGCTGCAGGTATCATGTGGCACTGACTCCACTCCTTCTGTCCTGCTCCGGCCCTACTTGGGCACATCTGCTGCCCATGGGATTTCTTGGAGGAACGGTGCTTTTCAGGTGATACTGTGGCTGGGCCACAGGTGCTGTCACTCACTAAGTGTCTGATCTTTGGAGCCAGGTGGTATCAGCAGGGGGTCATGTCCCCTGTCTGTGTGCCATACTTTGTCACCTGAGCCAAGCCCCTGAGATGGCAAGGCAAGGTGTTTGTGACGGGCTCATGTGCACAGGCTGCGTGTCACCCAGAAGCCTCCCAGCATCCTGTCTCATCCAGAACCTCACGCGGCTCCATGGGAGGTGTCCCCTTGGCTTACGGCTGCAGCCCCACCAGACACACAGAACCTCAGTTGACAGGTGCGCTGAAGGTTTTTGAAAAATTAGTTTCTAATTAAAACAATTCCTTTCGATTTCAATTCTTGCTAAAAAAATCTCTCTAAAATGCCTGAGTTTACTTTCCTATCTTAGTATATTCAGTGCTGTGAATCTAAGTTCAAGTAATCCCTTCACCATTTGACACGGTAGTTCAGTATTTGAAAAAGCAGTAGGTTTTTTTCTTATTAATACGGGCTTCTCTGGTGGCTCAGATGATAAAGAATCTGCTGCAATGTAGGACACCTGGGTTCAATCCCTGGGTCGGGAAGATCCCCTGGAGGAGGGCATGGCAGCCCACTCCAGTATTCTTGCCTGGAGAATCCCCATGGACAGAGGAGCCTGGTGGGCTATAGTCCATGGGGTTGCAAAGAGTCAGGCATGGCTGAGCAAAAATACTTTTGCTTCTTATTAATATAAGTGTATAAGAGCATGTCTGGAAAGTAAGGAATTTAGGGCTAAATAAGAACTGAAATAAGAGAATTTTTTTTCAATTAAAATAAGAGCAAAACCTAAATGCCTCGGTTATTTCCCACCCCTTTTTTAAGTTCAGGATAATGTATCTGCTTTATTTTGAGTTTCACAGACACAAGCTCTCACTTTTGTGATTGTAGTTAGTACCTACAATCCTGAGACAATTTCTCAGGTATAGTGGAAAGGATATATAACCTGAGTAAACAGGTGTTGGAAGCCTTGGAGGTAAGTTGACACAGGAAATTATAGCCACCAAGCTGCATTGGCAGGCAAAACATTTGTGCAGTAAAGACAGTACAAAACTTTCTGTAGATGGAAGACTTATTCAAGGTTTTGGAACTTCCCACGGTATCTTTAGTTATTGGATACAGCTGGGAAAGGATCGCCATTAAACTCCCAGGGCTGGTTCTGTGCTGCTTTGAAAAGTGTGGGAGCAGGACTCAGATCTGTGGGGTATGCTCCAATGCTCTTTGTTGCGGTGTCGCACTGAGGACACTGTTGTCTGAAGTTTCCATCTTCTGGGCTGTTCCATGCCTGGTCCTTCAGTTGGAGATGGTAGGCTTTTTGAGGGGCTTTGGTCTGTGCTTGTTGGGGTTTCTGATTGTGGTCTTTTCAGGAGTTTCTGAAGCAAAAAGAAAACTCAAACTCACTGCCATGTTGTTCCTTGGATCTCATGGTCCCCTGACAGTCTGCCTTCTTTCCTCTGTCTTTTAAAAGCTCCTTGTGTTTGTTTTATATATAATGTCTAGAGTTTTAAGTGGTGTGTATGTCGCTCGGTCATGTCTGACTCTTTGCAGTCTCATAAACTGTATCCCACCAGGCTCCTCTGTCCATGGAATTCTCCAGGCAAGAATACTGGAGCAGGTTGCCATTCTCTTCTCCAGGGGATCTTCCCGACCCAGGGATCGGACCCAGGGGTCAAACCCAGGTCTCCCGCATTGTGGGCAGATTCTTTACCATCTGAGCCACTATTGCTTAGTGGGAAAATTACATCTAGTCCATATTTCCAGGATCTAACTTCATTTTTACACAAGGTTTCTACAAAGAGCGATTTGCCCTGATCTATTAATAAGTATCTGGGTAGCTTGTGTGTTTTGCTTTTAACGTTGCTGCCTTCAGAAGCAATCTCGCGGGGGTTTTATTCATGTTACAGAATGCAGGGCCTTGTGGTGTCATCCCTGGCTTTCTTCTGACCCTCTTTGGATTAATGCGTGTCATTTACTCTTCAGCCTGTTTTAAGAGATGCTCTCTTGCGCTGTGATAACAGCGAGCAACGCTGGGACTCCCAGGGCTCAAGACGCAGTGTCCAGCTGGCCCCCCTGGGCTACCCTCCCAACATGCAGAGCCAGTGTTCCCAGTGTTTAACCAACTTACTTCGTCTTCGGAGACCTCATCATCTTCCAGCGTGCCAATGGGGTCTTTTAATACACGGTCCCAAAAGCTCTCTTTGTAATCAAACTCCGTGGCTTTCAATGGTGGAAGGCATGGCCAAAGGAGAGGCATTTGGGAAAGGAGCCGAAACGACAAAGAAAAACAAAAAGAGAAACAGATTTACAGCATTTACACTTGACCTTTTAACTACAAATGCACAGGTCATCGATAAGACTTTAAATTCATGAAACCACTTAAAATTTGACTTGGAGACATTCGTAAAACAGGAACGAAAGGGTATCTCAGTGGCAGATTTAGGAAAGTGTGTGTTTCTAGTGGTTAGGGAAGGTGCATCTGACAAAGTGACGTTTGAGTGAGTCCTGCAGGAAGCAAGGGAGTGAGCAGGCAGCTGGCTGGGGAAGACCATCCCTGGCAGGGGGCAGAGGAGGTGAAAGGCCCTGAGGTGGGAGGGAGTGGGAGCGTGTTGAGGTATCTGACAAACCGCAGGAGAGGCGTGAGAGTGAGGTGAGCTGGGAAGGGCCAAGGCCAGCTCCCGGAGGACCTAGTAGGCCCTGGGGAGGAATTTAGATTTTATTCCCAGAGAGATTTATTCTGAGTGTGATTTTCTCTTGGAAATCCTGAGAAATATTCCTATCTCCTGTCAGTTTTGTCAAAAATTGCCCATCTCCAGAATTGCAGATGGTTTGTAATTGCTAATTAAAGCGTAAGAGATGAATCCCCAAGCCAGTGAGCTTAAAAAAAACAAAAAGACCAGTCTCTGGGAGATAGCAGATGCCTTTGTTCTCACAGTCAACCACAGCCTGGTGACTCTGGGCCAGGAGAGGGGCTGGAGACCTCCAGTGTGGACGGGGTGCGACTTGAATGGAGGAGTGGATAATTACAACTTGGGCCTGGATTCCCTGCTCCGGGAAAGGTGTGGATCCTGAGCGGAGCTGGGGGGACAGGGCTTGCACACGATGACTGGAACCCTGGGGAAACTATGGTGGCCTCTGTCTTGGCTCCAGGATGACACCAGCCCCTCCTCGCTGGGCCATCCAGGAAGCCCATCTACCAGCGGTGGCGCTGGGCTGACTGAGTCTGTCTGTGTGTCCTTGCTGGGTCTCTGGGGGTGGAGAGGGGCGTTCTTTGTGATCTCCATACACGGTATCTCTGCACTGCCTCCGGACTTTGGTTCAGTAATGGAAACGCTGACTCCTCTGGGCCCCTGCAGGGATGGTGAGCTCCACCCAGCTGGATCTGCCTGTCCTGACCCCAGGCCAGGGGCCTCTCTGCCTGCAGACCTCCCACCCCAGCCTCGGCTTGTTCCTGGTGGAAACCTGCCTCATTGCAGGGGCCCCTGTGCGGCCAGAGTGCCCCCTCGCGCCCACGCTGGTAGTTCTTTCCCGCCAGGTCCTCCTTCCAAGCACACACCCTCTCCACTGAGGGGCTCACAGCTGGCAAAGGCAGGGTGATTCCGGCTCCATTCCAGGACACTGTGTCCCCAGACTGTCCACCCGGGGTGTGGCCTGGAGGAGTTTCTTCTTGTTGAGAACACCAGACGAGAATCCACAGGGATTCAGGCAAGCCCTCAGGAGAAGTAGCGGAGGAGCTGGTGGAACACGAGTCTGGGGAGGCCGGGCGCAGAGCCCCCGAGGAAGGCTCTCTGAGGATGTGCCTGCCAGACGAGGAGGAGAGGAGCCTGCCTCTGACCCGGCTCACTCAGCAGCTCCCTGTGATTTGTCAGTGCCATCTTTTAATAGGCTTTATTGAATAATAGACACTTAATTTGAGGGGGGAAGAAAAAGAAGTAGGTGTTTGTCAAGGGAAGAAGGGGACTTGGCAGGCTGGAATTGGGAGCAACCATGTTCAGAGGCATTTGTTTCTCGAAATCATTAACCTTATTAGCATCAACCAGCCCTGGCTACGTGTCAAGACAAGCCGGGTAAATCCTGCCTTAACTGGGGCAGGAGGAGTGGGAAGAGCTTTAGTCCTAATTAACTTTCCCTTTGGGGATTTCTGTCAACCTCTACCTTTGTTCTAGTGGGATTATCTTCCCTCCAAGCCTCTCCTGTAGGAGGACTGGGGAGGCGGGGGAGGTGTCAGGCCAGGTTCCTGCATGGTGGCCCTGTTATCCGGGGCCTTCCCAGCAGGTCTCTCAGCCCTCCGCGCCCTGGGCCCCTCGTCCGTGTAGCGGGGGCCACGGAGCTCATCTTCAGGGCGGCTCAGGGGACCAGCGCCAACGCGATGGAAGCCTGGCACTCAGCACTCCCTGGAGGGGGACGTCTCTCCCGGACTGATTACCAACAAGGCTTAACTCCTCTCCACCCAGTCAGTGGCTCTCCTCCCACAGCTTTTTTCTTGCTGACAGAAGGACGCCTCCTGACTTTGGGGTGGATGTTGGAGTCCTGTGTGTTTGCCGAGCAGAGCAGAGCCCCGCACTCGAAGCCGGGACGTGGAGGAGAGAAGCAGTAGGCCACTGCCCCCGGCCGGCTCAGAGAAGTGGCCACGGGGGTGAAACCCGGGCCGGTCCACTCTTCCACCCTTCAGGTGGGAGCTGCTGCCGGGGGCGCCTGAGAAACGCGGACCCTCAGGCCCCTGGACTGAGTCTGCGTTTCAACACAAGGCCTGGGTAAATGCGCTGCACATGGAAGTCTGAGCAGCACTAGGCTACCCTGGCTCTCTCCTCTCTGGAAATGGAATAAGATCAAGAAGACTCCAGAGTGAGAAAGAGTTTGTTTGATGAGCCACCTGTGTAGGTAACCCTGCTCCTCCCAGCCCCCATCCCAGCAGTTCACCATCCCTCCATTGTTTCTATTCAATAAAAGGTTGTGTGTGTGCTAAGTCACTTCCGTCGTGTCCCCCTCTTTGTGGTCGCATGGACTGTAGCCCGCCAGGCTCCTCTGTCCATGGGATTCTCCAGGCCGGAATACCGGAGTGGGTTGCCACGCCTGCCTTCAAACCATAGCATAGGTCTGGTTAATTATAGGACTTTGGTGGAGCAATGTGTACAAGTTGGGATTCTGCCACCAAAACCCAACCTTTTCCTCTGTCCTCCTCCCTCAGAGGAGTCAGCTATCCCCTCCTTTAATAAAAACTGACTCAGGCTCTCAGGGTACCATTTGAGGGGCTCTGATTCATTCCCTGCCAAGGTGCCATGGAATGATTCTGTCTGGAGGGACCCATGCATCCCAGCTAAGCCCTGCTGCCCAGACTTCAGAGAAGCCAGTAACTGACTGACTGGCCCCTCTTGAAATGTGGGTGTCCCGATACAGACCTTGAATGGAGAGATGGACTTCTAGACTGTTCCCAGGTCATTCTTTCTCACTCCCAAGACTCTCTTTCTGTTTCTATCTCCCTTCTTCAGTTAAGGACAGGGAAGCATATCCGGGTTCGTGGACTGTATGCCCAGCACGTCCCTCGATTCTCTCTAGGATTCAGCACTGGCCAGACCGGCAAGGCACCCGCCCCCCCGGGGGGGCACCATTCCCAGACCCTCTGCAGGGAGCAGGAATCTTTGGTTAGGTTATGTGGGACTCACCCTTTCCTGCCATTTGTGGTTCTTCAGTGGGAACAAAGGCTAAAAACAAATAGGAAAAATGATTAATAGGAGGTGGAATGGTGAACTCTTCACCCTTAAATGTCTGGAGAAACCAGGGCAGAGACTGCATATTCTAGGATAAGAGGCTCCTGTGGTTTTCAGCAGTTGGAGCGGTAGCTTATGCTCAGCACACATTGATTCCCCTCCTTTGGTTCACGGTTCATCTTTTCCAATAGAGTTTAAGTTCTGAGAGGGGAGGATAGCTTTGTCCATATGAAGATGGACATACTACTGCCAAGTACACAGTAGGTATACAATAAATATAATTTCATACACAGTAGATACACAGTAGATGTCATGGAATAAATTGGGTATGAGTAATCCATTATCTTCCTTTCTAACTCTGGTGGTAAATAGTATTTCCTCCCCTTTCAAAACTCAATTTTAACTCACAATTAAAAGCATTTTACCCTTTGGTCAAGTTTCTTCCGTGAGCCTTGACATCAAGTTCTAGAAATAAGGCTTTGGCCCACTGACCTTCATGAAGGCTGTCCTAGTCTAAAATGATCACTCGAGGACTCTCTTTGGCCTGGGGAATGCTAATTCTGTGCTTCTCACCATCTCATGGATGGACCTGAAGCTTCCACGAGTCATTTAAAATCATCGTAAAATTATAAAGTTAAAATGATACCTTGTGACTCAGACTTGAAGGTGGCTAGAGTCGTTGTTGATTCTTCCTCTCCTGGAGATCTTGATATTGAAACTACTGTTAAAAGACAGAAGATGATGGCCATTGGCAGTTTTAACCTTATAGTTTTCAGTGGGTTCATATTGGACAGTTAGGGTCTGAGGTTCTTTCTTAGCACCCAAAGTTGATCCACAGAGCAGAAAGCTTGGATTGGAGGCCATTGCTGGTATATACTGGATGCTTCCTCTGCCCATATCCTCCTCTTAGCTTTGCTGACTTACTCTGGGGCTGCAGTAAACTGTGGCTGGGAAATGCAGGCCCTCTTCTTGTCTGGTCCCCAGGACAGAGAGGATGGCTGGGGAGAGCTGAGGGAGAGTCCTCCTTCTATAGGAACCACAGAGCCAAGTGACTTCCAGGCCGTGTAGGCTTATAACCGGGTACACCTCTCGCTGTAGGAAGTGGGTGTCTCTGGTGTTCTGTGGTCAAGAGCTCCCAGAGAGGAGCAGAATGAGGGCCGGTGGGGAGGCCCCGGGGGCCTGGCTAGTACAAATGAGTTACGCCACAAGAGGCAATTGTAGTTTTTGAGAACTTTCCTAAAGTTCTTGGTTGAAAAGTGAAAGTGTTACTTGCTCAGTCATATCTGACTCTGCAACCCCATGAACTGTAGCCTGCTAGGCTCCTCTGTCCATGGGATTCTCCAGGCCGGAATACATTTGAGACCCCATGGACTGCAGCCCACCAGGCTCCTCCGTCCAGGGGATTCTCCAGGCAAGAATACTGGAGTGGGTTGCCATTCCCTTCTCCAGAGGATCTTCCCAATCCAGGGCTCGACCCTGGGTCTCCCGCATTGTAGGCAGATGCTTTACCGTCTGAGCCACCAGGGAAATAGTTCTCTGACTACTACGAACATGCATTCTACCGTGCATGGCTCTGGCTGTTGAGACCCATTTCCTTTTCTTAACCAATTTTCTCAAGCTGCCTTGCTCTAGCCCTTCTATGCAGATGGGGAGGCCAGGTCTCGTTTTCTCGTTTTGTGTGCCAGCTCATCAGATATCTGAAGGCACTTACTAGGTCTCAGACTCACGGGTCTTCTAGACTTAATGCCCTCGTTTGCTTCAGCAGTTCTCTGTGCGATGTTATCTCCAGGTGGGCCTCATACCAGCTTCTCCTCTGAGTCCCAGCTAGTCCGCTTCTGGTCCCCATAGAGGGTGGAATCCTTCTAAGTGAACAGCGCCCTGGGGCTGCTCTTGTAGTACAGGCTGGAGCAGGACTCATCTCCCTCTACATAACCTTGTAGTTGTTTCTGGTTATATCAACCTTCTGGCTGTCACATCAGGAATCCTGTTGACTTATGGAGCCTGTGGTTGAGTAAATCATCTAGAGCTTTCCCCCCTTGTCCTCCTCCAGCCTGTATTTGTGGGCCTACAAGCAGGGTCTAATCTAAATGAGCATTCTATTTTATTTAGCCAGTCCTGATGCAGTGTTTTTGGCTGCCAAGATCTTTCAGAATCTGATCACATTATCATCATGACTCAACCGCTTCCAGTCATGTGCCGATATCAGTATTCCTCCTCCATCTGTATCCGAGTCTATGATAAAATATTGTGCTGGCCGGAGCCCCATGGCTCCCAACTGGAAAACGGGTGGACTCGATCCTTGAACAGATTCTTTGGATGGTTATTCCACAGCGGTCATGCTGTCCTGATCATGATGCTCCCACCTGGTGTTTGCCCATCTGGTCTATAGGAACATCAGGAAGGCTCTGAAAATTCAACGTGTTTTGGAACTCAGGTCTCCTGCTTTATCACAGGTCCTGATTTAATGACCTTGTCAAAAAGTGATGTAAGAGCCAGCGTCACTTGATCTGTTCTTTTTTCAAGTATTTGTTTATTTAGGGCCGCAGGGGGTCTTTGTTGCTGCACGGGCTTTGCTCTAGTCTCGGCTGGCGTGGGCCGCACTCTGTGGCCTCGTGCTGGCTTCTCGTGGCGGTGGCTTCTCCTGTTGCAGAGCACGGGTTCTAGGCGGGCAGGCTGTAGTAGTTGTGGCTCACGGACTTCATTGCTCCTCAGCACGTGGGGTCTTCCCGGACCAGGGATAGAACCTGTGTCCCCTGCATTAGCCAGCAGATTATTAACCACTGGACCACCAGGGAAGTCCTTGATCGGTTCTGACTGATCCTGTGCTGGCTCCTCATGGTCATTTTGCTCTCAATATTTGGCCCAGGTGGATCATATACTGTTCTCCATGTGTACAGATGTCTGCATACAGCTCCTTGCCTACCAAGACCGTCTCTTGAGGGAAGGGTGCACCCTCTCATCATCATATCTGATCTGGAGTCTGATGAGGACTCAACAGCAGTTTCACAAGCATGTAACAAATATTTATAGGCACTTATTGTGTGTGTGGGGTGCACCAAGTTTTGAGGATTTCTACCAGAGGGGATATAATATTCTGTGTTAGAATTTCTGGTATACTTTGTTTATGACCCTGCTCTGTGCTTGGCGGTATACACACCTGGAGCCATTAATAGTTGTTCCGGTCCTCCTCCAGCCTGCTTCATCACCTAAGCCACGAGGCATTTCTGGTACCTTTAGCATTCCTTCCATGTCAGACCTGCCACTCTCTGTAGTAATAGGTTTCAAGGATTTATTTATCTGGGTGTTATACCTCCATGTTTGTTTCAAAGTGCTGTTTATAGAGTCCATGTGAAATGCTGTCTCTGGTGCCTGGGGTTGAATTTGTCGTTCAGTCACTAAGTCCTGTCTGACCCTATGACCCTGGGACTGTAGCATTGCCAGGCTCCTCTGTCCTCCACTATCTCCCAGAGGTTTCTCAGATTCATGTCCATTGAATCAGTGATGCCATCCAACTACCTCATCCTCTGCTACCCCCATCTCCTTCTTGAGTCTTTCCTAGCATCAAAGTCTTTTCCATCTTCTCATGAGGTGGCCAAAGGATTGGAGCTTCAGCTTCAGCATCAGTCCTTCCCATGAATATTCAGGGTTGGTTTCCTACAGGATGGACTGGTTTGATCTTCTTGCTCTCCAGGGGACTCTCAAGAATCTTCTCCAACACCACAATTTGAAAGCATCAATTCTTCAGTGCTCAGCCTTCTTTATGGTCCAAATCTCACATCCATACATGACTGCTGGAAAAACCATAGCTTTGACTATACAAACCTATGTTGGAAAAATGATGTCTCTTTTTAATACGCTGTCCTGGTTTGTCACAGCTTTCCTTCCAAGGGGCAAGTGTCTTTTAATTTCAGGCTGTAGCCACTGTCAGCAGTGATTTTGGAGCCATAGAAAATAAAGTGTGTCACTATTTCCATTGTCTCCCCATGTGAGAGTTGGACTGT